GATAGGAAGGCTCCTATGACGTCGGCGTCGGTGACATCGGGCAGCTCATTGCACTACTAGGAGAAGCGTCGGATGTACCCACGAAGAGTTTCCCTAGACTTTTGTCGGGAGTTTTTGAGATCCCATGGGTTCCCAGGACACGCGTATGTTCCTTGGAAGTTTCCCACGAAGATCTCTTTTAGGTCCGCCCAACTTTAGATTCGGTTGGGCAAAAGGTGTTCCAACCAGGTTCGAGCCGAATCGGCCAGGAACAATGGAAGGTTGCGGATAATGAAATTGTCACTATCTGCTCCACCGGCTTGGCAAGCAAGCCGATAATCGTTGAGCCACAGTTCGAGGTTTATTTCCCAAGAGTATTTTGGGATGTTGGTCGTCGGTCGGTACCGCAGTGGGAAGACGACGTTGAGGATGCGTCGGCCAAAGGCCTGAGGTCCCAGCAAGTCGGGGCACGAGCTTCGGTCCTCACCACTGTCATAGCATCCGCCATGATGAGGGTGGCAGTTACGGCTAGCCTCCTCCCTCTCATCGCCGTGGGCACACCTATGGGCATCTAGGGTGTTGCGCGCATCACGATGGAGGTCAAGATGCTCATGCACCGGGGCCATGGCGCGTGGCCTACCACCTCGCTGTGCCTGGTGGACTGACATGTCCCTATCAGGTCGCTGTAAGGGCGCGCACAGGCTGGCGTCGAGCTCGTGTCATCGGGACAGCGAGCTCTCGGCCTGCTGCGCCGCTGCACGCTCGAGTAGCGTGCGAATCTCGCGATGGGCCCGATGATCCTTGGGTGTCATGGGCTCCGGAAGCCCTCAGATCAAGGCTGCCACGACAGCGATGTTCTGACTTGCCCGGGTGAACTGTGGGAGGGATTCATCGTCCTCAATGATCCTTCGGTTCACGTCGTGGGCCACATTGCGCACACGCCTACCATCTCCGTGGCGCTCGAGCTCCGTGCATTCCTACTCGAGCTGGAGTCGTGCTTCTTTGAGCTCTTGGTGTCGCGCCCTCAGCTGCTCTACCCACAGGCGAGGTGGGGCCCCTACATCCCCTTGACCTCATCATCAAGGTCGTCTATTGGGGTAGCCCCTCCCTCATGGATGTTTTCAATGTATCCCTTAGGGGTACCTGCCATGAAACATTCTTACGAGGGGTGATGGCTCCCCCTGCTGGAGGCAGAGTCGGAGGGCGACTCCGATTCTCCCGCGAGAAGGTCGTGAAAAGATTTTGCAACGTATTCAGCCATCCCCATGAACACGTCATTCATAGGGGATGAGGGCATGCACTGCGCCACAAGGTGACCAACGGTCTCTATAGTGTTGCTAAGATCGAACGGGAGCACTGTCGGGGCGCTCCAGATGAGATATTCTAGGGAGAGCGGTTCTCCTCCAGCAAGCTACGTCATAACGCTGACGAACGAGAAGGTGAGGCGGTGTAGATCCTCCCAGGACGGTCGGGGTCCCAAGAAGGCGCCGAGCTGGCACTCTAGCCTCCTGTACTTGGATGCTCTTCAATCTCACCTAATGATGAATCAATCAATCTACATGAGTGAAAGGAATGGCTAGGCTCACTAGGGTGTATTCTCAATAGAAATGGCCAAGAGAGTGAGCCATGGCCGGCCAACCCCTTTTATAGAGCCCATAACGAAATAGAGCCGTTGGGCTCAAGGGTAGCCTACTGCGCGCCGACCGAACGCGAAAGTCAGATCGACCGGACGCACCGGCCTCAACATCCGATCACGCAACGCTGTCCATGTGTCCCCGCGATTCAACCACGGCCGCACGATCCCAACGGTTGAACGACTCCCGCGCGCGTAAAGAGGTGACCGAACGCAATAGAACAAGACCAGACGTAGCGCCACTACGTCTGCTCGCGCGTGCCCGCGTCCCCAGCACGCTAGGACCGGACGTGCCTCAACGCCACCTGACGCTGCGCCCATGTAGAGTCTGGTCGACTCCAGAGAGGGTCTAGAGCCGGCAAAACAAGACCGGACGTGTCACATCGGCCATGACCGGATGCTCCCCTACGTCCGATCCCCTCTGACCAACTTCAATGCCCTACGTCAGCGTATGTCAGCAGCAACCGGACGCACCCCATGCACGTCCGGTCCTATAGCCACTCAGAGTCCGGTCGCATGACCGAGGCCACGCCACCACGTGCCAACTGACCGGACGCATAGGACCAGCGTCCAGTCCTACGTCCGATCGTAGGAAACAACGCCTACTCAACTCCAACTTCTCCACCCTTGCTCAAATGTGCTAACCACCAAGTGTATCACCTTGTGCACGTGTGTTAGCAAGTTTTCATAAACATTTTCAAGGGTGTTAGCACTCACTAGAATCTAAATGCATATGCAATGAGTTAGAACATCTAGTGACACTTTGATAACCATATTTCATGACGAGTTTCACCCCTCTTAATAGTACGGCTATCTATTCTAAATGTGATCACACTTACTTAGTGTCTCGATCACCAAAATAAAATGGCTCTATCAAATATACCTTTGCCTTGAGCCCATTTTGCTTTTTTCTTTCTTCTTTTCCAAGTCCGGACCTTGATCATCATCACATGTCCAACACCATCGCCATGGACTTCATTTGCTCCACCACTGAGATTGGTACTAACCTATCTCATATACACTTAGAGCCAAAGGTTAGCACCTAGGGTTTATCAATTCACCAAAACCAAACTATAGCTTTCAACACCCTAAGTTGATGTCTATTATATTGTCTAAGATAGAAAATACTCGGCATTCAAATTACACATGCTTCGGTTAGTAAGATTTCTTTTGCTAAAACATGTCCACTTAGGTTCTGTCTCTGATTCGGCGCATGAGTCATTCTTTCGGTCGATTATTCTCCTGTGGGCGGTGTGTTCAATGTCGGAGATCCGATTATGATGGTTTCTTCAATTTTAAATTTTATGTATGCACATGAACAACAACGTCATCTTTATTGTGTTTTTAGGAAAAAGAAAAGTAAAAAAGAAACACTAACATGGTGAGCATTTGCCATGACATTCTAATAGGTCTTCGTTTTTGTTTGTTTTCTCAGTAGGTAAGGCTTCCTGTGCCATGTCATATTATACCGCCTTTGTCCTAATATATAAGGCGTAACCACTTGTGTTCAAGTCCCATAATACAAGGGGTGTGATATCTCTAAACACACGTATATCGATGCAATAATACTAGTGTTGAGAAAGAGAATTATATATATTGTCTTTGAATCAGATATGGTTACGCATTATATTCTGTGATGGAGGAAGTAGATGACATAACTAATTGCAAAAAGATAATGAGGAAATAAAAAGTAATCCCTCCATCCGCAAAAGAATGTAATTATGGGATTCGTGCCGGTCAAATGAGTCTAACTTTGACCAAGTTTATAATAAATAATATTAGCATTTATGCCTTCAAATAAATTTTATATGAAAATATATTCTATAGCTAATCTAATGGTACTTATTTTGTATCATGATTGTTAGCGTATTTTTATATAAAAACTTAGTGAAACTTTAAACTATTCGACTCCTTAAAAAGCGAGAATTGTATTTTTTGTGGACGGAAGTAGTATATAAAGAAATAAATTCCAAAGAAAGAGTGGCCCATGTGTGTAGGTCCATAACCAAAAGCACTAATAAAAGCGGAAAGCTCCTTTTGCCGGCCTCCATTACTTTTCTAGCCCAAACCTGTCCACCTCCACAGGGGCATCAATGCACCTCCTGCTCACCGACATGTGGGCCACAAGAACATCGGGCCCACCTGACATCGACACGCGCTTTTCCCGTGGATGCGCACGGCTTTATTTAGCGAAAGGGGAAATCTCTCCAGCCGAGGGGCTACGTGCACCCGGCGTTCCTGCACCCGGCCCCGCCTGAACCACCGGGTGATTTGGCGCGCGTGGGTCCCGCGCCGCGTGAACTCGTGGCCCAGGATTGCGCTCCGTGCGCTGACTAGGACCCGACCGGCCGGATCGGTTGCGGGGAACCGGCCGAGCCCGGTAAAGTAAACCACTGGCGCCTCTTTTGTTAAAAACACCCCTTGGCTGTTCCATAACTACAGCTCTATATACTCCTTAATTTGCAGTGTGTACAACGGCACAGAACTTTGGATGGTAATGCATCCTATCATGGATTGTGGACCTATATTTCTATGTGAAGTGCTAGCTATCAACTCTTGGTAGTTTTAGGTAGCGTTTGGATCCATAGAGATTCTAAAAATCCGGATAGAAATAATCTTAAAATCCTAAAATCTCATGCAAACACCCAAGGATTCTAGAAGGTTGTAATACACAAAATCCAAGAAACATCAGTTAGGAGAATTTTTTATCCAAAGTCTGGATTTTAAAATCCAATCCAAACGGGACCTTAATTGGTAAGCTAAATTTTGAGGAGAAAGGATAAAGTATAGAGTAGCACGAAATTTAAATAAAGTTTGGAATGGGTATTTATCGTGTTAAATGTACACGGTTTCTAGTGGAAAGATTTGGTCACGAGGGTTTAGGATAAGCCGATATGCATTTAATAATAGGAAAAAATAGGGAAATACCACTATGCTAATTCAACACATCTTTAGATCCATAGTACTTGCGAGACAAGCTTGTTCTTTATTATGAAAAAATAATAGTAGGGACAAACAATAAGTGATAGGTAATGTGTGATAGTAATACGCTTGTGTTGCTTCGTTATAATCTCGAGATTTGTTGGCTCGGCATTTCGAAGGTGCTTAGGAGTAGGGTGAATATGTGAGCATGTTTATGAACGTCTGCATTTGTACTGCAGTTCACGAGAAAAAAGAACTCAACATTATGGATCACTTTTTTTAACCCAAAAAAAGAAAAGAAAAAACATTTGGATCGCAGCCGTACTTGGTACACTGCACAGGACCAGTATGCAATTAGAGAAATAGTGCGTGGGCGTGGTTGCACGAACGCGTGACACAAATTGGGCAAATCTTTTGCCCCTTTCTGGCGTCGCCAACTCCACTTGTCAGATCTTGCCCGTATGGTATGGAGCTCGCCGGAGCCGCGTCCCCTCGCCCGCCGCCGGAATCCCACGTGGCGCCGCCCCGCCCACCTCCGCAGCCGCCGGAAAAGGTGAGCTCGCACCCTCTTCTCTTTCTCGTCAAAACCTGTTCTTGCCCCTCCCCCTCCTGCTTCCTCGGGACCCTCAGCCCTGCTGGCCGCGTCTCCTCGTTGCCGGGGGCGTCCGGAACCTCTTATTCATCAACCCGCCGCCGCCCATCGACTTATCCTCCCTGCCCATATCCTCCGCTGCACCGAGCTCGGCCGCCTCTACCTCAGATTCTGGGAGGAGTTCCCGGACAACCGCAGCCCCCCAAACGGTGCTGCTGTCTTCAGTCTTCCCCATCAGTTCTTCACGAGTTCATGATCTTCTTTATTGTTCCTTTCGACTATTTAATTTGAGAAAAAAAGTTACGGCTTTCATGATCCAAGCATATCTCCGTTTCCCCTCTTTTCCAATACTTGCAACTGCTCTGTGCTGCTGCCCCTATTGTCGTTAGAAAGTCTGCAGATAGTCCTAGTAGTACTGCAAGTGTAAAGATATGGCCTGATTGTCCCTCTAGCCGCCGATTGTTGTTTCTTATTCTATGGAGACTAGATTAGGTTAGCTAGACATCATGGCAACCTACTTTTCCGTTAAGCTGGTTGGTGCAATTGCAAAAGGCTGATTTTGGGGCTGTGTTTTGCTACAACTAATAGTCGTATGACTTATGAGGGCTCAATTTGTCTCTGAACAACTGATGCTTCAGTTTTTATGAGAATACGCGGAGAGAAGATCAGCTATCCGTAGTGCATAGCCTCTTTAATGATTTCCCTTGCCCCCCTTGAGTACTCGTTAACTGATTTCTTGATGTGGCTACCCATCCAGTTCTGTAGGAGAGTGTTTCTAAACAGCCTGGATTAGGTAGGGCTCCTATTCTATCCCTTGTCAAGATTACTTTTGTGATGCAAAGTTGCAAAACTGCTCTTCCGCTGTGGCTTCTTGATTTTGGTGTTGATAGCCAGTCTTGGATAGGGTGATGGGGATCCTCTATAAAGTTTTTCAATACTTGCAACTGCTCTGTGCTGCTGCCCCTATTGTCGTTAGAAAGTCTGCAGATAGTCCTTGTAGTACTGCAAGTGTAAAGATATGGCCTGATTGTCCCTCTAGCCGCCGATTGTTGTTTCTTATTCTATGGAGACTAGATTAGGTTAGCTAGACATCATGGCAACCTACTTTTCCGTTAAGCTGGTTGGTGCAACTGCAAAAGGCTGATTTTGGGGCTGTGTTTTGCTACAACTAATAGTCGTATGACTTATGAGGGCTCAATTTGTCTCTGAACAACTGATGCTTCAGTTTTTATGAGAATAGGCGGAGAGAAGATCAGCTATCCGTAGTGCATAGCCTCTTTAATGATTTCCCTTGCCCCCCTTGAGTACTCGTTAACTGATTTCTTGATGTGGCTACCCATCCAGTTCTGTAGGAGAGTGTTTCTAAACAGCCTTGGATTAGGTAGGGCTCCTATTCTATCCCTTGTCAAGATTACTTTTGTGATGCAAAGTTGCAAAACTGCTCTTCCTCTGTGGCTTCTTGATTTTGGTGTTGATAGCCAGTCTTGGATAGGGTGATGGGGATCCTCTATAAAGTTTTTAACCTTGATGCTACTGCTTTTCAGAGCCACAAAATTTTAGACCATACAGCTAAAGCTACTGTGAAATCTTAGTTTGGGTCCACATGCAGTTATGGTGCCTTGGACACAGTTGTTCCTCAGCGCTGATTTGATTGAGCTCGAATTTCCCAAAATACTGAAACAAAATGGGCCTACCCACTATGCGGTTACTAGAGTTAATGATCCTATGCCAGAGGAATAGCAACCATAAGATGTACTAACACTGTCAAAGTACTAAATGTCAAAAGTACACTGTAACCAAGCAGAAGTTTTGGCGATGATACCATACCGGAGAGATTAGTTAACTGCAATAAGTACAGTAACATCATCATCGCCCAGATCTTGATGGAATATGATACACCACTGAAGTATATCTGCTTTCACCATCTTAGCAAACTAGTTTGTTCTCTGAGAACAGCCTATTAAGGTGTTCCTCTTTGACAAAATAAGATGTCAAGGCTTGCTTAGCTGCCAAGAATTTTAGCTTGTGCAAGGAAGGAATCAGAGATAACCACTGACTGTAGTGAAGAGGGTATATAAGTATGTATCTTCTAAGCAAACACAGAGTAAATGTGTTAGATACAATCATATAACTATATAAGCATTGAGTAATTGCTTGACTCCTTGTATTTCTAAAGTTCTGTTATTTGACCTATTTTTCTTACATAAACATATTTTAGAGCATCTTACAAATCATATTTGCTGCTATCTCAATACATTTATTTTACTTAGTATTAATTTATTTGTCAGGATTTATGTGAAGATAGAGGGGACATGAGGGTCACTGGGGAAAAGCCATGCACACATCAGGAATTAGACGTTGATCAGACAAATAGTTCTAGCCTTAACATTTCCAGTGAGTGTGAGAATCAGACACCCAGCAATGACGAAATATCGGGATCAGAGTCCAATTTGGAGATAGCCAAGACTGAGGGTGATGTACCGAGTGGAGAGAAGGTCCTGAAGAAGCCAGACAAAATCCTGCCATGCCCTCGCTGCAATAGCATGGATACAAAGTTCTGTTACTATAACAATTACAACATTAAGCAACCAAGGCATTTTTGCAAGAGTTGTCAGAGGTACTGGACTGCAGGTGGAAGCATGAGAAACATCCCTGTCGGTGCTGGAAGGCGCAAGAGCAAGAGCTCCAGTGCGAATTGCCACAGCATATTGATTCCAGGCAGCAGTATAGCTACTCCTGGGGGAGAGGCTTCCCTCTTTCCGTTGTCCATAAAAGGAAATCAAGCGGCAGTCAGCTTTGGGCCTGATTCCCCTCTCTGCAACTCCATGGCCTCTGTGCTGAAGATTGGAGGAGAGCAGATTAAGAGTTCCAACCCTGCCTCAGCAGCACAGCCCAGAAATGGAGAAAACAAGACGTGCCCACGTTCTACTACACCATCAGATGGTCCAGGGAATGAATCACAAAAAGGAACAGCGAGTGCACATCAAAATGGAATTATTGGGCAAAGCAATGGAGTCACTTCTGTGCATCCTATACCATTCTTCCCTGGACCGCCTTTAGTGTACCCATGGAGTCCAGCATGGAATGGCATTCCCACCATGGCAGCAGCGGTGTGCCCAGCCCCAGCCGAAGCAGCAAATTCTTCAGAAAATGGCACCGCAAGCAGTAATGTTCAATGGAATGTGCCACCAATTGTGCCTGTACTGCCACCGGGATTCTGCGGTCCAATTCCAGTTCCGGTTATGCCACCTTCGGTTTGGCCATTCATTACTCCTTGGCCTAACGGAGCATGGAACGCACCATGGCTTGGACCTAGCTCTACCGTGCCAGCATCATCTCCAACAAGCAGCAGCACATGTTCCGACAGCGGCTGTCCTGTCCTAGGAAAGCACTCCAGGGACTCCAAACCTGAAGGAGATGAGAAGGCAGAAAGATGCTTATGGATCCCCAAGACGCTTCGGATCGATGACCCTGTCGAAGCTGCAAAGAGCTCAATCTGGACCACCCTTGGGATCGAGCCTGGTGATCGAGGCATGTTCAGACCATTCCAGTCGAAACCTGAAAGGCAGGAGCAGATATCCGGCGCCGCTCGAGCCCTGCAAGCAAATCCAGCAGCTCTGTCACGCTCGCGATCTTTTCAGGAGACAACATGATAGAGTATTACTGAACCTGTGTGATATTATTCAAATACAATGCTATATTAAGAAAAAAAAAAGTTCTATATTCTGTACAATGGTTGGCCACGTAGGTGCTGCTGCTGTCCAAGGCAGCAGGCACCCTTACTGTACCATTGGAAGAGTACATCCTCAAATTTCCTGCTATTTCCTTGTAGAGCATGCACCAACATATTGGGTTCATGATCAGGTTTCCAGCGTGTGCTTGGTTGTACAAGAATAATTGTTAATAGCTTCCCTTGAGTCATTGTATTACGCTGATCATTCAGCTATGTTTACTACACGCTGTTCAGAAACGAGTACACTCCCTGACAAGAGGATTCAGTCTGAAGAAATGATTAGCAGTTCTGTACTTGGTGTGCCAAATCCTATACTGCTCGTTTTATTTTTTTCCTCTCTTGCTTTTGTTATTGGGCCTATGTGTACTGAAGGCTGTTAGTTCTCAGTTCTCATCCATAGGCCGTATTGAGTGATGAGCACTTAAGACTGAAGTACAGTGGTACTGAGTAGGATTAAGAACATGCAGCCTTGGGCTTCCTCTTCTTTTTCTTTTTCTTTTTTTTTTAGCAGAAGCCGGCAGGTTACACTGCCGGCCAATGTATGGTATGAATAGCAAGTATAAAGCCTTGGGTTTTCTAGAACTATGAAGAGTGCTTCCGTTGCCTTTTTAAGGAGACTCTACTCTACTGTGCGCTGCGATTAGTTGGGATGCCCCAGTGCCTTTTGCTCCATTGTCGTTGTGCTGCGTGCCTTTATACCATCAGCATCCCTCTACTGAAGTCTCACAAGTCGTAAAGCTAGCTTTGTGATTCAGTACCCTCTTTGCAGATGTGACAGGTGACCGGGTGCAGAGAATTGAACTGCATGCTCCGAACTCCGACCCTTCTTCTTGTATGCGTGCTGGGTCATGCGGCACCCAGCTTTAAGATTTTGGGTCACACACAACACAATATAAGGCGCTACTTCTGCCACGGATCCAGCAGAGCTCGAACGAAATGGGTCGTTAGTTAGGCCTTGAGAGCACCTAAGACTACTTGGTCTGCTCTGCAGTCTCCTGCTCTGAAGGCCAGTCGTTGACTCGTTGCGTCTTTAACCAGAGACAGCAAAGAGTGGTCTTTGCGTCAGACACAGTGGTTGTCGTCAAAGACATGAGATCGCACCTAAAACTACTTGGTCGGTAGAGAACTCTGTCCCAGCTTGTTTCGTTCATCCCAGAGCCAGAGCAGAGCTTTAGGTTGCATCGTCAGCACTCTGTTTTTAAACATTGTACGTACGTAGTAGTGTTCTACAAGGGATCACGCAACAGTGAACTTATGATAGTATATAGCATATGCCTATATGGTCATGCATGTGTTAGGCAGAAAGGATATATATATGGACATGGGTACAGTGGTGCAGAAGCAGAGCAGAGGGGCCTGTGGTAGAGTATGTTCTAGTAACTTGTAATTCAGTGAGAGCTTGACTTTGCAGCAAATCTTTGCACTAATTAAGGATACTGCTCCACGCCTGGGTTCTTGACTCCGGCAACCAAATAGAAAAGGGACGTAGTATGTGATTCCCGCTCTCTGAAGCCAGAAGCCTCCACGAAAGCCAAAGACAGTGGATTCACCTGGCTCCTTCGTCCGAGTGTGTAGGCCTTCCTTGAACTGTCCTTGCTCCGAGTGGACGAGGCGCGGGACGCCACAGGTAAAAAAGAGAAAAAAGAATATTATGGTCATTTTATCCTTTTATCTTCTATGAAGAATTTTAACAAACATTCTTCTTATAGGAGGTGCCCCGAGTAAAAAGTAAAAGCTACTCAAAAATAAAAACTGTTTTTTTAGAGGAACTAAGGTCCTGTTTGGCATGACTTCAACTCTGAGTGGAGCTGCTCCACTCCAGAACTTTAGGTAGAGCCAGCTCTGGATGGAGTTGGAGTTGTCTGATGGAGGTGTTTGGCTAGGACTGGTGTTCCTAGCTCTAGAAAAGAAGAGTTTAAGGGTAGATTGCCATTCTTGTCCCTGGTTCGATTTGAACTACTTCTCACAAATATGAAATGAAAGTACATGCAATGAAATCCAAAATAATAATAAATTACATGTCATTTGCCTAGAACCAAAACTACGAAATAAGTTCATAGTTCGAAAATAAGGTCGTTACAATAATCATTGCGCTAGTTCCATGCTAGGGCGATGGATGTAGCCATACTATTACGAAAGGTGTCCATAGTCACAAAGCTTGATTCGAAGTTGATCCATCAGAGGCATGTTGAGACACGACATACTTGTTGTACCTTTCCGGAACAGTAGGCATGTAGGTAGGATCTCTATCAAAATTAGCAAAGTCCACATCAACACTAGCATGTTCATGTATGAAATTGTGTAGGACCATGGTAGCGGCAACAATCTTCTTTCGTGTGACCATTGAATAACCGGGCATCTTGTAAAGGATTTGCCATTTCATTTTTAATACTCCAAATGAGCGCTCAATAACATTACGAACAGATGAGTGTATACGGTTGAACTTCTCTTTTTGAGTATTTGGTTCCATACCTCGATGCCACTCGGGTAAGTGGTATCTTTCACCCTTGTATGGAGCCAGGAACCCCGGACGATTAGGATAGCCCGCATCTACAACATAGTACTTGCCTACACATATGTAAAACAAAATAAGTTTGTGCATACAAATATGAACAAGAACATAAGGAAAAATACTTACCTTGAGGAGGATGTGGGAAGACATCTACATCTGCTTCCAATGCATGGTACAATACACTTGTGTCATGCAAAGAACCCGGTTGACCCGCAGCCACATAGGTGAAGCGTATATCAAAATCACAAATGGCAAGCACATTTTGAGTTGCAATTCCAGTCTTACCAATATATCTCACTTGTTCTTCAGGTGATAAAGACACACGAATATGGGTTCCATCAAGTGCACCAATGCAATCCTTAAAGTGTGGATATGCTCTCTTGTCATTCCTAATCCTCTTGTGCACATTGCGAAAATTAGGATCTGTTGGTCTCAAGAAATGTTGTGCCATGGCATCCACATAATCTAGAACTTCATGAAATTTTCTACTAATGGTTTCACCTGAGTGTTTGAACTTATTTTGTCCTCTTCTATTTGACTCACAACTGCTACAAGTGAATACGAAAATTGCCAGCATTTCATATGTATTCATGTGTTTCGATGGTTTTAATCCATACCTCTCGACCAACACATCATGAAGATCATGAAAAATAACCTCATTCATCCGAAGCATTCGATGACACTCTCTTGGAGTGTTTATCGTCTCCAACAGCCATCCCATTCCACTTTGTTGTGAAAACATAAACCTCGGCGGTGCCTTGTCCATATACAAGTCATGATAACTTTGTGCTAGTTTAGCACTGGTCTCAACCATTTAAAAAAAAATCCCCATCATCACTAGAGTCATCAGACTCACTTAAAGATATCTGTGAACATTGACATAAACGAAATGTAAGATACAACTGCCATACATAAATGAAGTGCAAGAAAATAATAAAATGTGGCATACATAAATGGCATCACAAGAAAATAAAATGTGGCATACATAAATGACATCATTCTCACTGCCATTTCTACTTTTCATATTTGTCATTGTATTTCCTCCTAAGCCAATTGAACCTAATCTCATTAGTAGGTAAGGTCATGAACATCTCCCTTTGCTCCTTCTTCACAAATAGTTCAGACGCAATGTAATGTTCATTGCTACCATAGCTGGCCCCACAAGTAATCACAACCTCCATCACTTCATCAATAGAATATTTTCCATGTCTCTTCGAAACATATTCATTGGTTGAACTTGCCATACTTGTTACTGTTTCTTGAATTAGGAGTGCATTACCAGACTTCGCCTTCTTGCCACTTCTTTCAACAGGCCTTGCCAATCTCTTGCCACTCGTAGGTGGAGGAGAAATACCATTCTCCTCCTCTTGTGTTTCAACAACAAAATCATCATCTTGTGACTCATCTTGTGTGTCATCAACATTTTCTGTTGCTACATTCACAACATGAGGAGACCAATGATCAATACCAACAGTAGTGATGTCAGCAAAACACTTGGCTAATTCATCTTCATTCTCAAGGCCCTTCTTTTTAAACTTTCCACAACCCGGAATGTCCTGAAATAAGCAAAACAACACATATTCATCATCCATAGCAATAGTCTTCTTTATAGGGTCCCAACCAGTCCCTGTTTGCCTCAGTATTAGTTTCTTCCATGCCTTGAAATCTTCCTTCAACTTGTCCCATTTGTTCTTGATCTGACTCTTGGTAGCCATAATTCCAGTCCTATCTTTTAACCCTTTCTCAACCTCAGCATAACCAAGTGCATTCAAGTGTGTGTTTGGCCGATTTCCTTTTCCAACTTGTTCGGCAAACAACATACAGAGCACCCGAGTGTTCTCCGAGTTCCAATCAATTTCAGGCATCTATCAAACTCACAAATTTCATATTAGAAGCCATTAATCTACTTCACTGAAATGGTACTGTCCATATTTATAGTACAGACAACAAATTTTAGATTGCAAAATATCCACTGTGAATATAGGATTGCAGCATAGCACATAGTTCACTCCCACAAATCCAGCCTCTAATCATATTGTGAATCAATTTTTGAATCAAAACTGAAAAAAATACCTTGTTCTGTGGCCGGCAGGGGATGTCTGTGCTGGTGACGGGCGCTTCCTAGGGCGGCCTCCACTGGGAGCGGCAGATCCGCGCGTCCCCCGCGCCGAGGAGGCCACCGGGGTCCGCGGTCGGGGCGGGGATGTCGGTGCTGGTGACGGGCGCGGCCGGCTTCGTCGGCACGCACTGCTCGCTCGCGCTCGGATTGACGGCGGCCGGGAGGGGCTCCGGCATCCGGCGGCATGGGTGGACGGCGACCGCCGGTGTGGGTGGCGGCGGCGAAACCCTAGCGGCGCCCGTGCTCAGGAGAAGAAGCAAGTAGTCGGGGTTGGAGGAAATAGGCGCAG